AAAAAAAAAAAAAAAAGGAGAAAAAAGGAAGAAAAAAAACAAAGAAGAAAATGCTTAAAGTTGAAAGGTATGAGCCCTTTAATTTTGGTTTTCATTCTTAATATTGTTTTGGCTATTTAGAACCTACTGCAGTTACCTGTACATTTGAATGTTGACTTTATTTCTCCAAAGACATTGAAAATTGATAGAGTTGGCGTTAAATCTAAATATTACTTTGGGGACTATTGCTCATTGACAGTGTAGTCTCCTGATTCATGGCCTTCCTAAGAAGGAAATATTTTATTTCCTTCTTAACTGATGTTCTGCATGTCACCTGTGGCTCTAACCTTACAGGATTCCTTCAAACTCCACAGGTCTGAATCCACACGTTATCATCCTAGTAAACCCAGGAATGCTTCCCTGGGTTTACTAGGATGATTCACAGCACTCAAAACCTTATGCTAAAGATTACAGTGGCATTATAACATGTAAACAGATGTTTCCTGTCCTGACCACCTGGTCCCAAGTAACCGATTTAGAGGCTGAGTATGAATTATAAATGCTTGGCCAATAGCTCAGGCTCATTACTAGCTGACTCTTACACTTAAATTAGCTTATTTCTACTTATGCATTGCCACATGGCTCATAGTTTGTTACCTGATTTTCTTCATATCCTGGTTGCTCAGCAACTGGCTGGCATCTCCCCTGGCTCCCCTGACTCTGCCCTTCTTCTTCCCATCATTCTTTGTGTCAAGCTGTCTTGCCCAATCTCTTCTTATCCTGCCGTCAGCCAGTCAGGTTTTTATTATTTTTTTTATTATGAGCATAATCCACAGCAATAAAGTTTAGAAATACAAGCTGGGAACAGCCAATGAAGTGCCATATAAGGTAAGAGTTAGAAAGGACCTGAAAAGAGAGCTTCCATGCAGTCTACTTGTAGAGTAAGGATGTGCTATCCATTTAAGAAACCCATATGTCTACTGAGCTTTGGAGTCTAGAATTATTACTGGATTTCATTATATAGGCATGACTAGTTAATTTCCCTCTTTACTCTTTTGGTCAGAGACAATGCTGCCTAACTTTTTGAGCCTGTCATTAATTCTAAGGCTACCTAGGGGTGCTTTATCCTGAGGCATCTCAGCGTAAACTCAGGTGTGATTACTACAGAGATATTTCTATCACATGGGAAATTCCAAGGGCTTTGAATATTTGCACAAGAAACCAGCTCTAGGAACCTGTGATAAAGACCTTATACATTATTATAGAGCTGGTGTCTTCCAGAGTTAGTCTTAGACCCTACAGATTTAAAGGCCTGCATTGTGGTCTCCAAATTTAAGAGGCTCTTTTTTTCTTTTAAATTGCTTAGGTTTTTAAATTAATTATGTGATAAATATTGTATTTTGGATATTATTGATAGTTATTTTTAGGTATCCCATTCTACAACTAGCTGTTATAAGTTTTATTTGGAACAAATAAAATTAGCTAAATATTGGTTTCATTACTGTACGAAGTTTTCAGTAGTTACCCTGACTGGCCTGGAGTTCACTTTGCAGAGCAAATGGGCACTCAATATGGGTATCAAACAGAAGAGCCACTCAAGTCTGGGACTGGAAACCAAAATAGGGACAGACACCCAACAACAACGTCACAGTCACACAAACTCTCTCACACGAAGAAGCAAACATTACAGGCACTCTGAGCCCAGACACTCTCTGCTGCACCATTGGCAATCAAAGGGACAGACAGCAACAACCACAGTCATGTCTTACTCCCAGTGACACACACCATGTGGACTCAGTGACAGCAACATATTCACTTCTGCGGTAAAACTTTGCTTGTAGTCTCCAAATAAAGCTTGCTTGAAGATCAGAGGGAGGGCTTGCCATTAGTTAACCACAGAGGTCTGGAGGTCTGTTCAGACAGGAAGCCACATAGCTGGGCAGAGAGAGGAAGACCTCTAGGGGCTGGCTGCTCTGCTTCTCTGATCTTTCAGCTTTCATTCCCTAATATCTGTCTCCAGGTTTTTATTATTAATACCAGTTAGAACTCATGCAACAATTGACCCCCAACTTTACAGTACGAATTCACGAGAAAGCCTCTTGCCTGTGGCTTTGCAGCCATTGGCACACACTGGGGCTCCTGCCAGGGTCACCACCCCACGGGCTAGGTTTTCTTTTTGGTTTTACCGAAGCTTATGAGTAAGTTTGAGATTTTCCTGTTGTAGCTGTTAAGAAAAATCTTAAGACGAGCCTCTCCGCTGACACAAAATAACTCCAATTAAACCAGATTAGATCAAGTCAAAAATGCCCACTTTTAATAAATGCCACAATCCCAGGTGGCTGGGAGCAAGGCGAGGAGAAAGGGAAAGACAAGGGACACACACACACAGACACAGGGACACACAAAACCCAAAACCACTTCGTGTTCCTTTTTCCAGCAGGAGCCTAAATAGCCTGTGGGAGTTGTCCTGACCCTCCCTGGGAAGGGGTCAGCGTTTGGCAGACTGGGAGTTGGAGTCCAGAGGTAGAGTTGGCCCAAGGCAATTCCCAGGGGAAGGGGGCCTGAGATGGAGCTTTTCACTCCTTTGGTGTCCCAAGGAAGACTGCCAGGGACTGGGGTGACACCCCCAACTTGATATTACAGTAGCCTCTCTGAAACAGTCTCCAGCACAGAAAAAGGCCATGAATGCTTTTTCTTTACAATTACAGTACCTGAGACCACGCCCCAAATAGGCCAGTATATAAAAGGCTATTGACTGAAGGAGTTTCCATAACACCTCCCCATAAGATTCAAGCACTGTTAAAAGTAAGATGAGATTACATGGTGTAATTCTGTAAACAGGGATCTTAGTAATAAAGGGTGATCAGTTTAATAGGGGTGAATCAATCAATAGCAAAGTGCTCGAAAATTCAGGGCATCTCATATTTATATTATGAATAATAGTTTAGGCAGGAAGAAGTTTGAGAAAACTGTCAAAAGTAGATTAGTCTTTCCTGGGTGACTTCTACTTCCAATTTGCTTGTGAATCTGTGAAAATATCACTTGATTGTGATAAAAACAAATGTCTTAAAAATAGGCTATGGGAAACTGAGCAAAGACTCTAGTGACTGAGCTAAATAGCAGTTTAGTCAAGAAGTATGGTCGGTAATGAAATTCAATAAAAATATAAGTTTCTGGGTCAAGGAGATGGCCGAGTAGGTAATGGCACTGTTGACTCCGGGCTGTGCCTTACTGTGTTACCCCATATCCTATGAAACTGGCCTTTCAGCCTGTGCCTTACCCTGACCATTCTTCTGGATGCTTGTTTTGAAAGAGCACCCGGAGGGTGTCTCACATGCGTGGAGACCCGTGCCCAAGAACCAGGTCCGAGAGCCACTGGATGCAAGAACAAGAGGCAAACTTTAATGTTCACAGGCCTGTGGGTGCTGCAGTCACATGGAGAACTGAGCACCCCGAGCTACGTCTTGGGGTATCTTTATATAGGCAGAAGCAATGTTACAGAAGCAAAAGCGCGGTTACAGGGGTCCCATTGGCCAGTTTGAATGAGGCGAGGGGTGAATTTGAGGGCAGGCCTCGTTCCCCCTAGGCCAGATGTCTTGACCATAAATTCCCTGTCCTGCAGCCTGATAAGGCTGTCCTGGGTATCTCACCAGATGTCTGACCATAAATTCCCTGTCCTGCAGCCTGATAAGGCTGTCCTCGTTCTGACCTCAGGTATCCTGCTTTGCTCAGCATTCGGGGGCCCTTCTCTGAACTGAGCTTCTTTGCAAAATGACATAACTGTGACTAAAATGAGTTGGGGTCCTTCATTCCCTCATTTTTCTCTTATAACTTGAGTTAATTCTTTAACTCAAACTGATCATGATATTTCTGTCTCCTATTGTCTCAGTTGCTGATATTGGTGGGTCAGGACCAGAGTCTGGATAACTAAAAGCCTGTCTTTCATAGGTTGCACCAGGTGATTTAAAATGCAGGGGCCGACTGTAATGATAAGAAGCAAAATAAGTAGGGGCCCAGCTATATATTGAAAACAAAATCAAAAGACTTGCTCAGACAATAACCACATGAGAACTAGCATTACTTCAGAATAGCGCTTAGTAAAATTATCTGATGAATGAAGCTTGAAAGTAACTACATGGTAGACATTGTGAACCATTGCAGACCTGGGATTAGCACCCATCATTGTGGCAATAGTCTATTGACTATCTCAGTCCTAAGAAACATATGGATGCCTTATCATTGTAAAACAATGTTTCCCTTAAAAGGCAAGTTCAGTATTATGAAGACAAATCTCCTTTGCTGTAGACACTGGGAGTGTTGATCCTCAATTCCAGAGAATGCGCCTGAGAGGTTAGCTTCAGCCCAGCTGGCACCATATGACATTCACCGGCTTCCATTATGTTCTATAGCATCAGCTTCATCTTCATCCAAATGTACAAGGGTTGTGCCTATTGTGAGAACTTCAACAAGCAATGAAAGAAAATGCAATACAGAATGACAAATGTTTAAAACAAAACAATGAGCCCCAAAGCCCGAGGACAGTCAATGTGGAAGCAGAAATCAAGAATTAGGTTTAGTTCGTAAGAGGTACAGAAAAATAGATATAATTAACCCAGTAAGTCCTAAAAGCTCAACATGTCGTAAAAACATTAGGCCAGCTTGGACCTAGGGACAACATTCAGAGATAAAATCAATGGGGGTGTAAAAGGGAGATGGTATATTAGGATTTATGTTCAGAACTAAAACAGAAATAGAAGAAAAGGATCAGCAGCATCTTGAGACCCCAGACAGTGGTTCTCCAGCCTCAGCACTCAGAGGGACTGGAATGGTGATTGTAAATAAAACCATATTTGTTTATCTTTTGAAAATTAGGCCATTTCATAATCTAAAGCAAAATTTTCCTGTAGAAAAGCAAAACCAGTCAAGAGGTGAGAAAGATTCAGGTGTGCTTGCTTTTCTCTGCCAAAATGGTCTAATCTGGAAAAATCTCAGATCGTATAAAATAATTTCTGTCAATAGGTCCCAGACACATAGGGGAGGAACAGAACAGAATTACTCTTCGCTTCTGTTATCTGTTACCGTGTTTAAAAGACATTAACTCTTAAAAAAATGAGCAGAGCCCTGTGGGCTTCTGACTTCAGGAAAGAAGAGCCTTAAAGGCGATGTAAACCCATCTTACAGCAGATGTGCCTGTCCTGTGCAGGCCCTGAGCTCAGGATATCCATCACCAGGGTCAGCCTTAGTCAGCAGATGCATGAGTAGCAGCTAACTAGCCAGGTAACAGAACGAGTGGCAGCGATTGCTGTAGCATTTTAAACCCAGAACAGGACAGAGGGAGGTCTGGCCAGTCATTTTGCTGGTCTCTAGGGCCAATTTTGTCAGTTTATATCCTATCTATCTGACCTGAGCTTTGGGGTTGGTAAGCATAATTGATCCCCAGTGTCTTTGGTCATGCCCTAACTTACCTGGGCAACAAAGGCAGGTCTATTATCGGACATGATTACCTTGGGCATCCCAAACCTCGGGAAGATTTTTTTTTTGATCTTCTTAGCCATTACATTGGCTGTCTCAGTCCTGACCAATGTATGTTGGCTATCTTCTTTGGCAAATGTGTGGCCGTGAGGAGACTCAAGATTTCCGCAAGTGTCAGCAGTCCTCTTTGTCTGTATATTGCTCCGTGTATATGGGTGGTGGCAAAAGCATACCTGTTGTCAGTGTAGATGTTTCCTCTGCCATCCATAGAATTTGTGTCAATGTCACAAGTTCAGCCTTCTGGGTGGGCCAATATCCCTGAAGGGAAGCTATTCATCCAAATCATTCGCTTCCTGTTCATCATTCCTGCCCCCACCTTTCGCTTACCTTCAGTCTTGTATACCTACTTGGCTCCGACTCCCAGCCTTGTGCCCCAGGCAAGCTTCGCCATTATTTCCGGCTCTGCCTGGCGCTGCTCAGCCTGCCATTCTGCCAGCCGCCAGTCCTTTCTGCAGATGCTGATATGATCCATAGTCCATCGACGTGAGCAGGGCACAGGAGCAGCAGCCTGGTGCAGGAGGGCACCTGTGGTAGCATTGTGAGTGCTCTATTGCAGTCTGACACGAGTGAGGGGAGCAGACTGCAGGGTGAGCAGCCAGGGCTCCTGCAGGCTTTAAGACAAGTGTGGCACCAGGACAGTTGCTAGGAGGCAAGGATTTCTCCGGTGGCGATGGCATGGGGCAGTGGTCATCCTGGTGAGGAGGGTGTGGTGAAGGCAGAGGCAGGCAAGCAGCCTGCATCTTCTGCAGAACTGAAAACAGCAGGAAAAGTAAAAGTCCCTCGTTTGGTCAGCAAAAGCCTTTGGTCATACATTCAGGGATGACCAGGGAGGAATGAGTCATTTATGTGTCCTTAAAAAAATCTATAGAGGTATCTAATGTCCTTTTTCTTGCAATAAGCACAATAGCCTTTGTCCAAGGGGTGCCTCTGTTTATCTTTATTTGTCTTTGGTCCTCTTCTATTGCCCAGGCTCCCTATCTGTCTGAGTCCAAATTTCCTGTCTATGATCCCTCCGGTTTTCTCTTTTCTCTGTCTTCTGCTTTTCTCTCTTTTGCTTCATTTTTTCTGTCTCTCGTTTAACATTTTCTCTGTCTCCCCAAATTCTGCAAGGTATAGTCTTGCAACCTATCTATCTGCTGTAACTTCTTCCTTATATCTGATGTTGACTGCCCTATGAAAGCCATGGCTATCGCTGCCTGTTGACTTTAGAGGTTGGGTAAGATGCCTGTAAATCTTCATTAAACATTTAAGGAACATAGATTCTAACTGGCCCCTGGAGAACCTCTCTTTCCTTGGCCGAATTAGTGGGGTGCCTTGTAGCCCCCCTGAGAATTGCCATGAGCCCAGCATTTTGACTGTCAGTTTTTCCCTTTAAGAATTAATTGGACACCATCATGTAAAAGAATGAAAGTGGATCCATATTTCTCTATGCACAAAACTAAAATCCAAACAAATCAAAGAGCTTAACATAAAACCAACAATATTGAACCGCATAGAAGAAAAAGGGTTTTAAATACATTTTTAAACATAGCCTCAGTGGCATAGACATTGAGAGAAACAATCAATCAATAAATGAGATCTCCAGAACTGAGAAGCTTTCTGTATAGCAAAGGATATAATCAACAGAACATAACATCAGCCTGTAGAATGGGAAGATATTTTTATAAGAAAATTAGGAACTTAGTCCTCATAAGAACAAATAATCCAAAAAAAATTATGTTACAGACCTAAACTGTAAACTCTCAACAGATGGACTTAAAATGACTGAAAGATATTTAAAAGATTCTCAAATATAACATCTTTAATCATTGGAGAAATGTGAATCAAAATAACTCATGAGACTCTATCTTATTCCTATAACATGATCAAGATCAAATACTGCTCATAACCTATGTAAAAGAGAAACTCCTTTACCATTGGTGGAAATGTAAACTGGCACAGCCACTTTGGATCCTAATATATTGAAATCTCAGAAAATTAGTCAACAAATCATCCCAAGACTTAGTTATGTCTCTATTGGGTCTGTAGGAACCTTTGAATCTATTATAGTCCCTAACTTTAAGCTGCGGGCGGGACATAGGCTCCTTGTGGGCTGCGCGCCCACGTCTCTCCGCCCTCCGCCCTCCTTTCGGGGCGCGCACCTAGCGTTCCTTTTTGTGCCACCTGGCAGTTCGCCTGGTCCAGTTTGTAACTCTCTCTCTCTCTATGGCTCTTTTGTATCCTTTAGCAAATCCTATCGGCGAGCGCAGGCGGACCGCCGCTCGCAGCCGCCTCCGCCTCCGCTCCGTAGGACGTGGGAGCCAGCACACACGCGGCCCCGCCCCCTGTGTTTCCGGCAGGAGCCGACGCTGCTCCCTCCCCACGTCTGGGCAGCACGGCCCGCAGCTCCCCGACGAGTTTGTATCCGGGCCTATGTGTTCTGGCCGCACTGCTGTTTTTCTCCCCCCCCCCCCCTTCTCGGCCTGTCTGTCACGGCCCTGGCCCATTTGGCAGGGTCCCGTGGCTGCCTGCGCTCTTCCTCATCTGCGGCCCACCAGCGGCGGCCACCCCCAAGGTGCCGGTTGGCAAGTCCAGCCATTGCTCTCATCAGCGCGGTGCCCTTCGCCACCGAGAACTAACCAGAACTAGCCAAGCGCAGCGCAGCGCACATTCGGGGTAGGGCTTGGCAATCGCAACAACAACAACAGCAAGCGGGAGGTCGGGCTGGGTACCAGGAAGGCAGAGTTTTCTGGGTTTTTTTCGCTCCTGCATGGGAAAAGAGACAGGGGAGGGGCAGACTGCCGCTAACATCTGCACCATGCTCTGTAATAAAAATGGTTTTACCCAGAGTAGGGGAGTTCCCTGGATAAATTCTCCTGGTGGCCATTCCAGGAAGCAGACTGCTTGCCGTCTCTCGGATTTCCACGGCTTGGTCTGCAACTTCTCTCTAAAGTTAGAGCAAAGGTCAGCGGTGGATACTTGTTTACTGTCCCATGGTACCAGGTTTAGACTCGAGTACAAACAGAAACGAAACAAAATACAAAAACAAAGACATGACAAAGACAGAACAGACAGCCGGCGACGCAAAGCGCAACTTCGGTGACAAACCGAAAGTACAAATTCAGATGGCTGCAGCAAACCGAAAGTACTAATTCAGATGGGGAAGTGAAAACTCCACCCTACAGACGCACGAATTTCTAGGATTCGTGCTGAGCCCCTCGGGCTCTACAGATCCCTGGGGCGTCCCCCAGGGTAGCGGGAGAGAAGTTCAGAGCCCTTCAGCTCCTCCTCAAAGCCGCCCAGAATACAGATGACCGTGGATCCAGGTCTACAGAATACAAACGCTTGCGCATTACATCAAATTAATACATCAAGACAGCAAACAGACAAGGACAAATAGTGGCTAGCCAGCTTACCTCCCAGTGGGTTGTCGGATGGGTTGGGCAGAGATCGTCCACAATCCCACTCCTGACACCAAATGAAAGAGCACCCGGAGGGTGTCTCACATGCGTGGAGACCCGTGCCCAAGAACCAGGTCCGAGAGCCACTGGATGCAAGAACAAGAGGCAAACTTTAATGTTCACAGGCCTGTGGGTGCTGCAGTCACATGGAGAACTGAGCACCCCGAGCTACGTCTTGGGGTATCTTTATATAGGCAGAAGCAATGTTACAGAAGCAAAAGCGCGGTTACAGGGGTCCCATTGGCCAGTTTGAATGAGGCGAGGGGTGAATTTGAGGGCAGGCCTCGTTCCCCCTAGGCCAGATGTCTTGACCATAAATTCCCTGTCCTGCAGCCTGATAAGGCTGTCCTGGGTATCTCACCAGATGTCTGACCATAAATTCCCTGTCCTGCAGCCTGATAAGGCTGTCCTCGTTCTGACCTCAGGTATCCTGCTTTGCTCAGCATTCGGGGGCCCTTCTCTGAACTGAGCTTCTTTGCAAAATGACATAACTGTGACTAAAATGAGTTGGGGTCCTTCAGTTTTACTGACAATGAACTGCAGGGTGACTTTTTCCTGACAGGAATCCAAAGAATAAGAAATGCTGACTTTGGGCGAGTCATCCCCATTTCAAAGCATACATCGAAACCCCTCTGGGAGGCGGCAGTAAGAACTACTGTCAATAACAATCAGAATAATTAGGAAATGAAAGTTACTGTGGAGATATACATAACCCTAAACCAAAATGGCTTAGTTGGGGAAATTTCCCTGTAGAAAATCTGAGGCTCCAAGACTCGCCCGAGGAGACAGGGGTGAGTGAGGTGAAACTAACTAGTCATCATAGATGTCCAAGACCCCTTGCTCATTTCTCTTTTCAGATTCTGGACTCTGTTAGGCCCCATCCATCCTCGTTTCTCATCTTTCTTCAACTCCTTACATTTTCCCTACTAGGCCTTCTGGAATACATAATTCATTAGCAACCACGCCTGTTTATCTTCAGTCATTTCCTGGAATGTTCCTTAGTTGCTACAGTGTGACTTTACTCAGTGTGGTCTGAAAGCCTCTAGATGCTGCTCCTAACTGCTGGGTCTGGAAACAGGCAAGAGGTTTGTGTGCTGTCTTTAGTACTTCCAGACCTTTCCCCTTCCACCTTTACAAAACCTTGTTGGAAATTCCATGTCACAAGGTTTTTGTTTTTGTTTTTGTTTTTCCCCAAGACAGAGTTTCTCTATATAACAGCCCTAGCTGTCCTGGAACTCACACAATAGACCAAGATGACCTTGAACTCAGAGATCCACTTGCCTCTGCCTCCCCAAGTGCTGGAATTAAAGGTGGTGCGCCACACTGCCTGGAGCCTCAAGCTTTAATGTACCTTGTCACATATCATTTTGGATGACATCTACCAAAGCTCACTCTCTACAACTAGATCAATTCTTGTTTTTCATTCTTGTAATTTAATATAGCCACAAAGATGAGCCTGGCTTGCTACTGTGCCTTGACTGCCTATCTGGTGGCTTGTTCTCCTTATCCCTTCTCCCACAAGGTACCGCTCCACTTTTCTGTTCATATGTAACAGAAAAAACTGGAGTATACCATGCATGCTGTCTCCTTCTGCTCTACCCTCATTCTACATTGCCCTACTGGAACTTAGCTACCGTGACTCAAAGAATCTGCTTTTTTGCACTTATGACTCTTTGAACAAGTTCTGGTCAAGCAGCCCAAGTCATTTATCCAGTAAAACTCTTTCAGGGGATCTAGACTAGACGTGACTCCTTGTGATAGTGATCACACATGCCCTGAAGTGTTCTTTCCCATCTTCTTAACGTTTTTTAAACATACGCTTTATGACAAGAGAGTTGAACATTCTTGGGAAAATCTCCATCATCTTTTCTTCCTGAACTATAAACCTGAAACTCGGCAGACTCACCAACATACACCTTAAACTCACTATGTTGATTTGAGCACTATGACCCACTCAAAGTGCACTCCATCTTGAAAAGGCGTCTAGTAAACCCCCATGCCTCTCAGAGAAGCCACCACTTTGCACAATTCCAGTGTCCTCCTTAGCTGTTACAGGTAGTAATTCTCCCTCCAGTCTTTCCTTTGCAGTCACCAAGACCAGAACCCATCGTCTTTAACTGCAGCCTCATTTCTACAAATGACGCCCAATAACTAAACACAATATTCATTATGTTCTTGCTAAAGGGTTGCTCCAACACCATGTTTACACAAACAGTAACCCAGTAACAAACGCACACATGTGACAGGGTTGATGAGATGACTGTGATAAAGACGCTGCCATCGAGCCTGAAGACCTGAATTCAATCTTCAGTACATGCAGGGTGGAATAAAGAAAACAAACTTCATATGGAGTTTTTTCAGTGCCCATTATCCTCTTTGAAGTGACTGGTGCTGCCAGGAATAGATGTGTCTCACTGTCAAGAAAAGTCTAAGTTCTACAAACATTGTAAATGCCTTATTCTGTAGGTCTTTGAAGTATTTGAAGATTGCCTATCTATCTGAAATGTGTCTCTGTATGACCTTGAAAACCTACTATGACTATAAGTTTGCTATGGCAGATGACTATTAATCTGCATTTCTTAATTATATATTACATCTTTAAATGAACTTTATAAGTACAATATCCTAAACAAGAGTAGCAACATACACATAGTATAACAGAAATAACCTTAAACTTGTATAATAAACAAAAATCCATACCAATGAAAAATATTGTGAGATTAAGAGTTGTTTTTTGGATTAAAGTAGATTCAATAATCTACCCTTCCCCCCATATTTCTATATCATATCCCCCTTTCTTCTTTTAGAAAGTGATCTCTGAATTTTACTCCTTTTTTTTAGCCTTCTATTTTTACTAAAACCAATGCCAATTTGTAACCAACCCCCTTTAAATAATAACAAACATTTATAACCAATATTTTGGGAATATGGGCATAATTCCTTAGACTACTTTCTTTTGATTGGGGGAGCTAATAATCTTTGTGAATCCCTGAGAAAATTTAGGATTATGATCAAGTTCTGAGTGGAGTATCTTATGAGACTGGATCATCTTAGTCAGTCCTGAGTGGATTATCTTCTGAGGCTGGATCATCTCTGTTCTGGGTGTTGGATCACCTGGGCTATCCATTCCCATTGGAGATCTTTTTTAGGGAGTCTTCTTCAATCAAACATGATTTTTCTTATTACAAAATGAATCCACAGCCTCTCATTTCTTGTAAAAACAAAAGCATAACCTCTCCCCCAGAGTAACAGATCTTTTGACTTAAATTTTGAAGTCAAGATAATTTTTAAAACACACAGGTTGGTTTAATATAGCAGTTTTCACAATCCAAGGTCTTTTAGCAGCCAAAACAATTTAAAGATAATACAATAATATAACAATCCAGATTCTTTGTATATTTTATTTTTGTGACTTATATATTTTATTACTCTATTTCTTTTTAAGTACCTTTTCTTTTCTACCCTTTTTCTTTTCTTTCCCAAGCATGCATGCATGTATGTATACACACACACACACACACACACACACACACACACACACTGTAAACTGTTGAGGTTTTTTTCTGTCTGAATCTGTCTTTACTGCATATCTCTATCTTTTTCTGACCACATGAGCCTTTGAACTGCCAAGGATCAAAGTGGTGCCTTTGGCAACTGGTTCCACCCCATTCCTTAATTTCCTAATAATCTAGCTTCATGGCCAATGTACTAGCTAGAGCCATGTTTACCACTCCAAATCTGGCAAGTTTCTGAGTCTTTGCTGCCACTGAGTAGTGTGCCACCCACTGTTTACAAACTCCATTTAAGTGTTTGGTAGCAGGACCTCTTTAAAACGCTACGTGGGGAAGTCATCCCTTAAAGGAGCTGTGCCTGTTTGTTGCTAGCAAACAGAGCCTAAAAAAACAAAACAAAACAAAACAAAAAAGCAGTTACCAAGAAATCAAGTTTGACCATTTCTGTGTATTTAGAATCCTTTTTGAAGCTTTATGTGGAAATTCTTTCCAAACATTTGGGTGCCATGTGTAAACAGATGTTCACTGTCCCAGAGCCACTCGGTCTCAAATACCTGGCAGCTGCTTCCCAAATTGCTGCCCAGTGGCTTTTATTACTTATAAATGCTTGAATGATAGTTAAGGCTTGTTACTACCTAACTCTTATGTAGATGAAATCTGTCCCATGGTCCCACAGTCATTCAGTCCCAAAAAACACACAAAGGATTAATTATAAGTTATAAATTATTAATTATAAATTATAAATTACAAATAATTATTAATTATAAATAATTATAAATTATAATTACTAATTATAAATAAATTATTAATGCTTATTAATAAGCCTACTAGCTCACATTTATTATTAATTAGATCTTACAACTTAAATTAACCCATAATTCTTTAGCCACATGACTTGATACACTTTCTCAGTGAAGCATTCTCATCTTGCTTTCTCTGCATCCAGCTGGTGACGGTCTCTCTGCCTTTCCTCTTCCCTGAATTTTCCTAGGTCACCGTACCTATACTTGCTTCCTGGCTACTGACCAATCAATGTTTTATTAAGTTAATATGAGTGACAAATCTTTACAGTCTACAAGAAAATTATTCTGCAGCACTCTTACACTTAAATAAACACATAATTCTTATCAATGTTCAATCACGTTATTTGGTACTTTTTCTCAGCAAGGCATTCTCATCCTCTCTGTTTGCCAGCATTTCTGACTCTGCCCTTCCTCTGTCCAGAATTCTCCTGGTCTGGCTTCTGTGCTCAAGCTCTTTCTGCCCAGCTACTGGTCAATCCGTTTTTAACAATGAGTATAATCCACAGCAGTATGTTTGAGTTAATGTTCATAGTGTGTTATTACGTATCATTTAGTATTCATGCCATTCTTTTTGCTTATGTAAATACCAGGTGGGGTTTTGTTTTGTTTTGTTTTGCTTCCTTTCCTATGTGTCTAACATAGAGGTTTCTATCTAAACTTTCTGACAGAAGCATCATTTTGTTTCAGCAGTATTTTTTAGATTTGTGTATTTCACCTGTGTGTATGTCTGTACACCATGTATGTTCTTGGTGCTCATGGAGGTCACAAGAGAACATTGCATTTTCTGGAACTGGAGTTACAGACATTTGTGAGCTGCTGTGTGTGTGCTGGAACTCGAACCTGGGTCCTCTATGTAAACAATTGTTCTTAACCTCTGAGCAATCCCTCCAGCCCATATTTCAGCATTTTCAATGTCATCATTTAAGGGTTCCCACTTTTTAATTTTTTTTATGGAAGACTTTGTGAAAAGTATGGTAAAGGAATTTAGATTGGTTGTGTTAGGTGACTGGATCTGCTCATTAAAGTGTGGGATTCTCTGGTGTACTGTCATCACCACCCAAGACAGCTCAGAGCTTTTGGGTCCTGTTTAGGTAACAACCATGCTCTGAGCCTATCCCAGGATGGCAACCACAAAATCATTTCTGGTTCCTAGACCCTGAAAACCTTTTGTCCCCTGATATTTAGGGTATTAATACCTTTTTGTCCATTTTAATCAATTTTGTTAATTTTTAATTCTATGAGTACTAATGTTTGTCTGCACTCATGAGGTCTCACCAGCTGTGAGACTTGCACAGGATTGAAGACAGGATTGAGCCTGACAACATTCCATCAAGGTCTCCAACCTTAACTAAGTTTATGGCTGCTGGGGGAGGGGAATCATTTTTCTTCAGTGGTGTAGCCACTCAAGTTGCCTATGCTCCAGTAACTACTACTGAGCCATACTCATGCAAGCAGTGCCAATTAAACTCAGTGGGTCACACACACACCATGAAGGCAGGAGGGGTCCTGTTGGGAAGAGGTTAATGGAGGATGATATGGTCAAATACATTACATACATGAATGAAATTATCAAGGAAAAAATTAAAACTATTAATCTGTAACATCTTGGAATGGGCAGCTCTTTTCTAAATTAAACTTACAGTTTCTTAGTTCTTAATATAGTGAGATATTTTTTAAATCTTCACTGTGTTTATATGTGTATGTGCTCAAGTGAACATGTAGGTCAGAAGACAACCTCCAATGCTGGTCTTTGTCCTTTTTTTTTAAAGACATGCATAGACACACAAACATCCACACAAATAATCTTAAAAAATAAATCTGGGAGCCGGAGAGATGACTCAGTGGCTGCTCTTCCAGAGGACCTGGGTTCAATTCCCAGCACCCATATGGTAACTCACAATTGTTTGTAACTCCAGCTCCAGAGAATCTGGCAACCTTACACAGACATACATGCAGGCAAAACATCAATGAACATTAAATAGATGATAGATAGATAGATAGATAGATAGATAGATAGATAGATAGATAGATAGAT